GGCTACCAGGATCCCTCACGGTCTTCCAATCCTGGCATCAGATCCTCCCCAAGGCAACCAGAGGGGACTTCCTAAGTGCAAATTTGACACTATCCCTCCCCCACTCAGAACCCTCCATGGCTCCCCAGTGTCCTTAGGGCAAAGGCCATGGCTGAGGGGCTCGTTCACAATCTCGCCCTTGCAGACCCCTCCAGCCCCACCGCCCACCTCTCCACACCTTCCACTCCCAATCCAGAAATAACATCCTGCTTGCATCTTCCGTCTCTCTCCTGTTCCGTCTTGCCTCAGAACCTTCGCACATTCTCTTCCTTCTCTGGAATGCCCTTCCCGGAGCCTGCTCTTCCTAGATAACTTGCCCGTCCTTTGGATCCCATGGTAGACACATCTCACCACGAGCCTTCCCACACGACCCCCCCCCCTCCCCCGCCAGACTTTGGGGGCTTCCCTCGGGTTCCCCAAACACCGTCACCCCACGGCAGCACTTTGCACGCTGTATTTTCTTTGCCTGACGATCGACCTCCCCATCCCAAGCAGGCTGTGAGCTCAAGAGGTCATTGTCGTCACTTATCAAGCACCCGACATGTTGCTCGGCAGAGACGGAGAACAAAATAGCAATTTTGGGTTTCGTGACGGCGGCGGGAAGGGAAGAATACGACAGCAGTGTGTGTGACCTCTGTCCCCCCCCCCCGCCCGTGTCACCCCTTTCGTCCTACTCTGGGGTCTGCCTCTCCAAGGACCCGAACTTTCTAAACCTCCTCCTCCCCCGCTTCACCCCCACCCCCCATAGACAAGGGCCTAGGACACTCTGGGAAAACCTAGGTCTAATCCTCTCCTCTCTCCACTCAGAGCCTTCTGTGGCTCCCAGTGTCCTCACCACGGCTCACGGGGCCCTGCATGATCTGCCCCCAGCCCTACAACCTCCTGACCTCTTCCATTCCATCCGCCCCAGTTCACCTGTCTGGTCGCCTTGGCCTGCTTGGGTTCCTCTGCCCACTTGTCACCACCCACCTCGCACGCTGCTCCCTCCCCCCGGCGCTCTCTTCCCTTAGCTGCCAGCAAGCTTCTGCAGGAATGCCACCTCCTCAGGGAAGCCTGCCCTGACTACCCCAGCTAAGACTGCAAGGCCTTCCCCTCCCGGCCTTCCCTGCCCCTCTCGCTGCCTCCTGGTTCTCCTTAGCCCCACGGCGGTGACACAACACATCTGTCCCCTGCTTAGCTGTTTAAGGTTTGTCTCCCCACTAGAATAGAAGCCCCACCAGGACTGGTGCTGCGTCCTGTTGGGTGCCGAGACAGGGCTGGCACACAGCAGGTATTCGGTGATTGTGGAATAAATGGCTAGAAGGAAGAATGGAAAGGGAGGGAGGGAAGGAGGGAGGGAAGGAGGGAGGGAAGGAGGGAGGGAAGGAGGGAGGGAAGGAGGGAGGGAGGAGGACAAGGCCCAGCCCGGGTGACTCACAGCTCATGGCGAGCCTGAAGGGCTCGCTTCGTGCCCGGCTGCCCCAGTTCCAGACCTCACACTCATAGGGTCCTGTGTCGTCCCGCCGGAGGCCGTGGATGACCAGGCTCCTGTTGTCAGCCGACAGCACCAGGTGATCGCTGGGCAGGAGAGCCTGGCCCCTCAGGAGCCACAGGACTCCAGCCCCCTCATGGGGGGTCTGGCAGGTCAGGGCCACGGAGCTGGCATTTTCCACGAGATTCAGGCTTGGGGGCGCAATGTGAGGCTTGGTCAGCGTTTCTGGAAACACAAAGAGACACGGGTAGGGGTCAGGGACCCCTTCCCTAGTCTCCAGCCCAGGCGGGGGGGGCCCTTGGGGGCTTTCCAGGGATACATGTGTATGTCTTGTGTGTGTGTGTGTGTGTGTGTGTGTGTGTGTGTGTGATTGCGTGATACGGGTGCTGCGGGTGTCGTGTAACAATTGCGAGGACGTGATGGGTTTTGTATGTTTGGTGAGGGTGTGGTCTACGGACGCGTCTCGTGTGCACGTCTGTGTCCGCTGCATGCGTGTGTCGTATTTGTCGTGTGACTGTGAGGCATTGTGAGTTTGTATCGTGTACGTGGGCCTTCTGCATGTGAATGTACGCGGCGTGTGTCATTGTGCGGTGTGCACACGCTTTGTGTATGACTGTCGTGTGTGCCTGTAGCTACGGAGTATGTATATCGTGTGTCAGCTGTGTGCACGTCATATGTTTCGTGTGCAGGTTATACGTTGGTTGCATTGTGTGTTATGGGTATCGTATGTAAATTGCGTGTATTGTGCACAGCTGTGCATATGTGGTTATTATTTATGCATGTGAGACTCTGTGTGAGATGTGTGAATATTGTGTGTTTGTATGGACAGAGAATCAACGCCCGCCCCTCACCCCCAACTTTCAGAGAGAATCAAATAATGGACAACCCATAGACAGCCAACAAGGTCTTGGGGAGGACGTGTCAAGCCAGGAGCCAGGACCTTCCCTGTGGTCAGAGTAAGAGCACCCAGGCGAAGCAGGTGGGTAGCACCGTTGGATACCAAGCACCTGTATGTGCCTTCATGTTCCCGGGACACAGCTTGGATGGCGAACAAACTCATGGTGGGAGGTGGGATGGAGTCATAGGGGAGAAACCAGGTATAGGCAGGGCGAGGATGAGACTGTGTTTCCACGGAGAAGCTCACAGTGGAGCCCTCTATATCACTTCAACCACCTCCCCTCTGGACACGCCAGACGCCAACTTGATTTCAAAGGGGTCAGGACCATCTGGAAGGACAAGAACAATCATAGCAGCAACAACAGCTCAGCAGTGGCTTTCTGAGAGAGACAGAGCTCAGGGGTCGATAAATATTAATATTTCTCTTCTCCCCCACCCAAGCTCTGGATCAATTACAAAGGAGATACAGGAACCCAGTGGAAATTAAATGTCAGCCTTATCCCTGGGTAAAGCAGGGTTGTAAGACGTGTCTAAATGCTCTTTCCTTGCCCCTACCCAGACAAGCTTTTGTAGCACACATCTGAAGGTTAAAGAACTTAGTTTTAGATATGTTAACTTGGAAGTTTCCAGTAGAACCAAGTAGAGACATCAAATGGTTATACGTCTGGAGTCCAAGGGTAGAAGAGTCCACATTTGGATGGTATCTGAAGCAGTGAGACTGAGTGAGATCACCAAGGAAGGGGGTGTCGATGAGGGGCTGGGGAGAATGGAAAGGGACTTACAGTTCACAGTCAGGAAGGTGGGAGCACTGCTCCGGACCTGGTGGAAAGCCTGGGCTTCACATTTGTAAGTCCCAGAGTCTTCCCGCTGTACAGTGAGGATGGTGAGGGTCTTGCCATCTGTGGACAGCTGCATGCGCTCATGGAACACCAGGGGGAGATCGTTGAAGACCCAGTGGATGGTAACATCAGCATCCTGGGTGCTACAGCAGAAGGTCAGGTTTTCCCTCTGTTCTGTGGCAGTGTCCTGGCTGATTGCAATGGTGGGTCTGGCCAGCAGTTCTGCACAGGAAGAGAAAGAGGGAGGCAGGAGCAGAGACACAGAGGAGGGCCGAGCAAAATGTAGCCACAGAGGGACCCAGAGAGACAAGGGTGGTTCGGAATTGCCTCAAGGCACATGAGCTCAATGCCTGGGCTCAAATGTTAGATCCACTGCTCATTTGGAGTGTGATTGTGGACAACCTACTTCCAATCTAAGCCTCATTAAATGGGATCGTACAGATAAAGCAGAAGGATCTGGGGTTTGACAATGGGTCAATTAACATCAGCTGTAAGGAGAATCAGGCTGGTAACGGATGCCAGCCAGCTCTCACTACCCACGTCTTAGCCAACCTTTCCCACCCCCAGCCATGACAGCTACAATCCACCCCTTTACCCCACCCCCCAAATCAGCTGATCTGACAGGTTGTTGCCAGACCCTGGCTGGCCAATCAGATTTGCTCTATTAGGACTTTGGGCGTGGAATCTCGATGGGTGTTTTAGGTATGAAGGCAGGGATCAGAATGAGAGCCTTGTTTTCTGTGCTCGCATCTCTGAATCTACGATGAGTCTGGGGTCCCCGGGGAGGGGGGGTCCCAAACATAGACAGAACGACATCCTTCTCACTTTGGATGGTGGTAAGTGGGTTGGCCTCAAAGGTGAGCTGGACTGCAGCTGGCAGACTCCACATGGTCAAAAGTGAGGCTGGTGGGAAAGAGAGAAGAAGCATTCAGGGAGGGAGAGGTGGGTTGGCAGTATCCAGTTATGGTCGTCATAAATGGAGGGAGGTCAGGGTCATGGACATGACACTTCATCCCTAGAGGCTTGACTCCTCTCCACTACTTATTGACCATGTGACTTGTGGCATGAGTTTAATCTTCTCGAGACTCAATTTGTCCATCTGCACAATAGGCATCCCATCACCTGCATCCTAAGATTGTCGTGAAGTGGTAATGAATACTGGTAACCTTTAATTCGGCCCCCTGAGGGTCACTGTGCTCTTTCCGATGATGCTCATCCTGGCGGAGGGACATGACCAGTCTCCTCATTCCACACTCCAGAAGGAAAGAGATGCTCGGGGAGGTGGAGTCACTTTCCAAGACCGTTATAGTGAGCGGCAGAAGACAAGACTGAACGTGGCCTGCCAGGCCCTAAACTGTGTTCTCAACACCGCGTGACTCCTGTCAGCCCAGGGATGGACACAGAGCCTATCCCCTCACAAACCGGAACCTCTATTACCTCTGATGGGGGAAACTAACCTCTGGTACTCTTGCCCTCAGGGAGACATTTCCCTAGCAAGGGGAGGCAAGGGGAACCAGGAGTTGTCCGATTTCCATTTGGCCATTCGACACAGTTTCAAGACTGGAAGAGACTGTGGGGATGAGTGGGGACCCCCTCCCCCACCCCAGCAGCCATGCTTAGGTACAGCTGACCTTGACGTCCCACGCCCCACCCCTCTCATCTGCCCAATCAACAGAGGCTGGCAGCCATGTTTCTCTCCAGCCCTCAATGGACCCCAGTCTGGCTCAGGCACGGCCCCATTCCCTGCTGAGTCAGCGGTGAAGGGCATGAGCTCTTAGGATATCTGGAAGCAAATACTGATTCTGATGCGTCCTGGCTCCACGATCACGGGCACGGGGCTCTCTTTGCGAGCCCCAGTTTCTCCAGCAGCAAAATGGGGAGGATAGAACCTAGTCCGTCGCGTTGTTGTGGGGTTCGATATCAGATGTCACGTGCCTAAAACGGTTCATAGGAAGTGTTCAGTCACTATTATTATTATTTCCTAAGTTTGCATTTTCTGCCTGTGGACCCAGAGCCTGACTGCCTTCCCTTGAATCCCAGCTTTGCCATTGCTTTGTTTGGCGAGTGATGTCCTCTGAGTCTCAGTTTCCCCATCTGTAAAATGGAGTATTAATAGTTCCCACTTCATAGAACTGTCATAAAAGAAATCCTGAGAGTGCAGTCATCGACGGTGGGCCTCATCATACCCATTTGAGATCAACCTCCCTCTGCAGACAGCCTTTACCTGGCCCCTTCCCTCCTGCCTCCTCCCTACAGGGTCTTGCCTTCTGTGCACAGGGGGGGAAGCAAACTTTGCAGAGAAGCTGGTGACTCTCAGCCCCTCATGGGACCCCGGAGCCCCTTGCACCCTGCCAGGGTCAGCCAGAGGGAAGAGCCGGCCTCAGGGCCACCCGGAAAAGCCGGGCTGAGTTTTGCACACCACCCGTTGAAAAGTCATTCCTTTGCCTCCAAAATGCTTATCAAAACATTCTAGCTCAGAGACCCTTTAAGCATAAATTTCATATCCGTCCCCTGGTGTGACCTGTCTGTCCGCTGTGTTCCTACCTCTCTTTTGCTGGGTCTCTCTCTCCACGACTCCCCAAGTCTATTTCTCTGTGTGTTTGTACACTTTCCTTCCTGTCTCTTTGTCCTCTGTCTCCCTCTCTCCTATCTGTTCCTCCCTGTTTTCCCCTCTGCTACAGTTTCTACTGTTATTTTCACTCTTTGCCTCTCTGTCCTTCTATTTCTCTCTGGGTCTCTGGTCCTGTGGTCCCAACTCCATTCCTTTCTGTATGTATGTCAGTATCTCTGGTCTCTCTCTCTACCTTTGTCAGTCTCTTTTGTATTTATTTCTGTGTGCCTATCTCTCTTTGTATCTCTCTTTTTGTGCACACACGCACACACACACACGCACGCACCAGCCCCATCCACATCTGAATGGAACAGTACACTCACCTATAAGCAGGATTTCTGCCCAGTGGTGGCCCCTTAAGTCAGCGAGTCCCATGGATTCGGGTACCTGATCGACGTGCCCCAACTTGCACACACAGACACGTCTTCACTCCAGCTCCCCCCTCCAGCTCCCTCTTCCTCCCCCTCTGCCCTGCTGCAAACTCACAGGCACTATGATGGTGACAGCAGCTCCCAGGACAGACAGGGGTGGTGGCAGGAAGGAACTTTGGACCCACCTCCACCCTCCGCCCCAGGGCTCTCTTTCCTTCCTCTGCACAGCACAGACAGCAAGAGCCCCAGAAATCCTGGGGTTTCTCCCAAGGTGGAAGAGGGGAAAGAAATCCCTACCCTTTGGCCCTGAGTCCTTTGAGAATCATGTCTCCCTCTTCCTGAGACACCCCCCCCCCCCGCCTCTTTGCCAGGACGGGGAAGCAATCCAGGGAGAAGGGGTACCAGGGAGCGACAATAAGAGAATGTTAAGAGTTAAGGGAAACAGGAGCCAAGATAGTGATAGTCAATCGTAATGATAACAAAAACAACCACGGTGGCTTCTGTTTGTGAAGACCTTAGGACAATCAGGCTCAGTGCCAAGCTCGCCACGAGCAGTCTGGAAACATTCAATGAGCTGAAATGATACTGAAATGAAAGCTGGGAGCACAGAATGAACTGGGTTGGGAGGGCCCCAGGGGGTGTCTGACCCAGCCTGGGGGCGGGGGGGAGGAGGCAAGGAGGGCTTCCTGGAAGAGGAGACATCTGCGCTGAGAACTGGGGACACAGTCAAGGTTCAACGTAGGGGAGTTACATTTTTTTTTTTTTTTTTTTACTTCCCTGCGGGCAAGACAAGCCGTTGGTCTTTGAGAGCACGTAGACCAAGATTTAGTGTCGTCGACTGGGTTAGGGAATAACCATTAACGAGCATCAACTCATGTATCCATTCATTCACTTCCTTATTCACCAACAAACATGCCTTGAACCCTTCTGTGATGATCCCTGTGCTTAGTAGTGTTGGGGACACAGCGGTGGCCAAGGCATCCCCAGCCCTGCCCACATGGGCTCACAGTCCGGCAGAATAGATGAACTTGTTCCCCATCTGTGCCAACCCAGCACGGGCGGGGCTGGGTTGGGGGAGGCCGGAGGAGGCACGTGACCCGGTCTGGAGGTCAGGGAGGGCTTCCCGGAAGAGAGGCCATCAAACCTGAGACCTGGAAGATGCAGGGGTGGGTCAGGGGAGAGTCTGGCAGGCGGAGGGGCGGCATGCGGGAGGTTGCTGAGTTGGCGGCAAGGAAGGAAGTTCAGGCGGCTCCAGAAAAGAGGAAGTGAGAGGGTGGGCGGTGCAGGTGGTGGTTGGGAAAACTCTAAGGCCACGACTTAGGGCACGAGAGGCACCTTGGCATCACGGAAGATCTCAGTCACCCGGCTACCTCCGCTTGCTGCCCGCCTGGGTCTCATTCATGCACCAACCATCTGCTTCAGGGAAGCACGAGGCTTAGCAAACTGGCTCTGGAGGTTCGAAACCTGGCCCCTCCGCCGGCCGCGTGTTCAGCCCTGAGCGCGTCGATCCCCGGCCCTCGTGACCCCTGTCCTCCGCTGTAAGACGGGGCGGGGAGGGTTCAGCCTCTCCGCCCCCCACGCCGCAGCTGCGCCTTGCCGGGAAGGGGATGTCACCCCTGTGAGCTTCCGTATCCCAGCTGCAGACGGAGACAATGACTTAAGGCCGGGCAAGGGCTTGGAGCAGAGCCCGGCACAGAGCAAGCCCTCGGTGGGCGTGGGTCTCCACTAGGCGTCGGGGCAGCAGCCCCTCTGTGGAAGTGCGCGCCCACTCCGTCACTCGACGCCCGCACCCTGAGCACCTCCTGGGCTTGCTCTAGGTGCTCGGGACAAAATGCACAGTGCAGACAGAGACCATACGCGACAAGCATACGAAACGGGTACGTCACGCGGCATGTCAGGAAGTGATTCGGCGACGGAGACAGGAAAAGTCAAGCAGGTTAGGGGATATTATTATCCCATCTCGTCGCCCACCACACCGACGCTCACGGAGGGGAGGTGACTTAGCCCTCGCCTAAAGTCACAGGGCCTCTCGGGCCACAGGCTCTGATCCACCTGGCTCTTCACCTCCACATGTCCTGCCTTCCAAGGTCCGAAAGTGGCTCCTGGCCACCTCCAGCCCCGTCTCCTCTGTACACGCAGAAGGACGCCGGTGGCCGCATCGCCCTACCGCACCCCCGGTGCCTGGGGCTCCCTGTGCTGAGCGCACCTGGGGCACCTGAGTCGGCATTCGAGGCCTCCGTCTGCCCATCCTGTTCTGACCTGCAGTCCGCTCCTCAGCCAGGCTTCCCTCCGGATTCCGCTGCCCAGTGCCCCCCACCGCCCCGGGCCGGAGACCCTCGCCTCTCCCTCCCCTCCGCCCCACCCTAGAGGACAGAGCCACCACTGGAGTGGACTTGCCCGAATCTGCCCCTTCACACAGGGCTGGGGTTTCCTCTCCCAAAATCCCCCACCCCCCTTCCCCATGGCAGGTTCTGTGTTTTCCTGCTCCAACAAGAGAGAGGAACTTCCTGGGCCCCTCCCTGGAACAGAACTTCTACTTGGTCTCTGACAGGTGCAAATAAACCCAGGGCCCTGCTGCCCCCACACCCTCACCTGACAGACTCACGCAGGCTGGCCCCAGGCTGTGTCTTCCCGAGCATGACCTCGACTGACCTCCCAGCCCGTGCTGCCTCTCTATGGCTCGCGCCCACCTTCCCTGGGCAAACATTTATCTGGGCCTACTATGTGCCAGGCACTTTTTTTTAGGTGCTTGGAGCACACACCAGCAAATGAAACAAATACAGATCTCTGCCCTTAAAGAAATCACTTTCATGCAAGGGTGGGGAGGGGCAGAGGGAGGCAGGCAACGAGCAGGACACCAACGGGGCCTCTGGGTGGCTCAGTCGGTTGAGCATCCGACTTTGATTCCAGCTCAGGTCATGATCCCAGGGTCGTGGAACCGAGCCCTGCATCAGGCTCCATACTGAGCATGGAACCTGCTTAGGATTCATTCTCTCTCTCTCTCTCTCTCTCTCTCTCTGTCTCCCTCTGCCCCTCTCCCCTGCTCGCACTCTCTAAAATAAAAATGTATAAAAAAATACATAAATTTAGTTAGAGGGCGCCTGAGTGGCTCAGTCGTTAAGCATTCAACTTCGGCTCAGGTCATAATCTAGCTCATGGTTCATGAGTTCCAGCCTGCGTCGGGCTCTGTGCTGACACCCCAGAGCCTGGAGCCTCCCTCGGATTCTGTGTCTCCCTCCCTCTCTGCCCCTCCCCGCTCACACTGTCTCCCCCTCAAGAATAAACATTAAAAAAAAAAAAAAAAACTTAAATACTAAAAAAAAAAAAAAAGCAACCCCTACAGGTCAGAGTCAGTTTGCTAGTTTAGGAACAAAAACTTATTTTGCATAGCACGGGTTAGGAAAATCTTGCTGAGTGTATAGAGGCGTAGAAGAGCCAAGAAAAGAATCCCAAGAAGAAAATAGAACCAAACCCCAACAATAAAGTCCCAGGGACTTTATTTATTGGAATGATCTTTTTCTCTTGATGTCGTTTTCTTTCTTAAGTTTTGGGCATTTCACCTCCAACCAATCAGCCTCAACCCTAGCTGTACATCCGTCTTGGTCTGTTTCGGCTGCTATAGCAAAACACATACCGGGAAGATTCTAAACAACAGAAATGTTTATCTCATGGTTGTGGCGGGTGCAGCGTGGTCAGGTTCTAGTGGGGGCCCTCTTCCTGGTTCTCACCGTGTCCTCACACGGTGGAAGGAGCTCGGGTGCCCTCTGGAGCCTCTGATCCCATTCAGGAGGCTCTGTCCTCGTGACCTCATCACCTCTGAAAGGCCCCACCTCCCAACACCATCACTCTGGGAGCTGGGATTTCAACCTAGGAATTTGCGGGGGACACACACATTCAGCCCACAGAGCAATACCTGAGACGGTGATGTCGGCGTCCACGCTGCTGTGTGAGCTGGAAATGGAGTTTGAGGCCCTGCAGGTATAGACCTCCGAGACCCTGGAGAGACTGGAAATGAAGAGGGTCCGGCCATCAGGCCCGGGGATCCCACTGATGCTCCGTATGTACCGGGCAGGGGGCTGGGAGTCAGCCAAGCAGAGTAGGGGGACGTTGGAACCAATCACTTGGGTGAAGTTGGGTCTGGTGAGGTCATGGTGGAGTGTCAGGGCCACCTGGGCCGAGAGAAAAACATCCTAGTTGGGAAAAGTATGGAAAACAAGGACCACGATTCCCACCAGACTGGGCATTTAGTTCAGGGCTGAAAGTTCCACACATTGAGGGCGGCGTGCAGTCACATAACCTGGGAGTTTGCCCCATGAATGAATGAATGAATGAATGAACGAACTATTGCAACCACCCCTTCACTGTGGTGTCTGCCCCTAGCGAGACTTCAGCTCCGTGAGAACAGATGCTTGTCTGTTATGCCCGCTGCATTGCCTGGGCTAACGTTCAGCACAGAGCGGGAGCTCATATCGTTGAAGAGAGAAGGAGGGGAAGGAGGGGGAGAAACCTGGGTTCAAGTTCCTGCCTTTACTCCTAACATCGTGAGATCTCGGCTGAGCCCCTCCCCGTTCTTGACCTCGGTTTCGTTGTTTGTGGAAGGAAGGGTATCTTCGAGTCCTTTCAGTTCTGCAAATATTTGTGTTCTAAGGACTGGAATTTCTGGGAGATTGGAATCCTGTGGTCTACATGTGACCTCGAACTTTAGGTAGGACGAGTCTGAAAGTCCCTAATTTGTTACATAATAAAGGCTCCGCAAGTGCCTCTTAAATAAATACCTGGTGAACGAACTTGTGAGAGAAGGAGTACTTACGTGCCAGGCTTTGTTCTAAGTCCTTACGTGAACCGACTCTGCTCCTCACAAGGACCCATGGAGGTAGACACTACTGTGACTTCCACCTTTCTGATGAGGACACTGAGGCACGGAAAGGTGACGTAGCTTGCCCAAGGTCACCAGCTCAGAAAGAGCAGAGCGTGGATTTGAATCCAGCCGGTCTGTAGAGCCCTTGCTCCATCTACACGGCCCCTGTTCTGGGCTATAAATGGTGGATGGGCCAGTTGGGGGTAGGGAGGGGGGTACCCTGTGCTGCAGAGGTGGGTCTGTTACGGGGCGGGGAAACCCATACTCGCAGGCCACATCAGCACAAGGCCCTCGTGGGGTCTGGCTCCCAGGTGCCTCCTGGTCTCCCAGTGGTGGGTGCCAGAGTCATGGCGTGCCACTGTGGGAATGCGAGGCCCCGCCATCCACTGACATCACCGGCCCCTCCCCTCCCCGAATCACCTCGACATTCAGAAACCACCAGATCATCACCTCCTTGTTTTGGGGAGACACATGTCAAATCCAAGGAGGCCACGTGCTCCACGGGAGACAGGGCTGCCACCGGGGTTGGCGGCCTTTTCTGGGGAGGAGAGAAGAGAAACTGAGGGTGATAGGGCTGAAAGGGATCTGGAGCCCCGGGAATTATCAGTGGCAGGAAATGCCTCCCTGGGGCCTTGGAAACACCCACTGCTGGCTTTGCTGGTTCCAAAGTGAGCACATCTGGCACCAGCCTCAACTCTAATGGGAACACACACACACACACACACACACACACACTCACACACATACCCAACAAGCTCTCACCCACTCCCCTGAAGAGTGGATCCCAGGTCCTCTCCCCAGAAAACACACCCATGCACACATTTGCCTCTAATTTCAGGTAATCATGGGCTACTCTAAGGACCGACTGCAGAGGCCGGGTGAAGACTAGATTATAAATTAATAAAGATCTTCTTCGAAGAGAGTTTGGCAATACAGATCAAAAGCTGTGAAGCAGGTATACCTTTCACCCTGGTGGTTCCACTTTTTATAATTATTCCTAATGCAATTATCATCACCATGTGCAAAGAAATTAGCTATAAAGATATCTGGTGCCACACAGTTTATAAAAGGGTAAACTGGAAAGGGTCTTGATTTACAATGAAGACTGTATTTTTTTTTAATATTTATTTATTTATTTTTGAGAGAGACAGTGTGCATGCAAGTGGGGGAGGGGCCGAGAGAGAGCGAGACACAGAATCCGAAGCAGGCTCCAGGCTCTGAGCTGTCAGCACAGAGCCCGACACGGGGCTCGAACTCACAAACCGTGAGATCATGACCTCAGCCGAAGTCGGACGCTTAACCGACTGAGCCACCCAGGCGCCCCGTACATTCTTTTCAACCATTCATGGAACATATACCAAGATAAGCCATATCCTGGGCCATAAAACGGAACTCAACAAACTTTTAAAAAAAATGGAAATCATACAGTGTGACCACAATAGACTCAAACTGGAAATAACTAACAGAAAGATAATAGCAGACTCTCCAAACATTTGGAGACTGAACAGCACATTATAAATAAGCCACGGGTCAAAGAGGGAGTCTCAGAGAAAAACAAGAAATACGCTGAACTGCATGAGAATGAAAATACTGCACGTCAAAGTTGTGGGAGCAGTGCTGAGAGGGAAACTGATAGCACAAAAATGCCGACTTCAGGCGAGAGGGAAAGTCTTCAACAATCTAAGTTCCCGCCTCAAGAAATTAGAAAAAGAATAAATTAAACCCAAATCAAGCAGAAGAAAGAAAATAATAAAGACCACAAATCAATGAAACTGAACCACAGGGGCGCCTGGGTGGCGCAGTCGGTTAAGCGTCCGACTTCAGCCAGGTCACGATCTCGCGGTCCGGGAGTTCGAGCCCCGCGTCGGGCTCTGGGCTGATGGCTCAGAGCCTGGAGCCTGTTTCCGATTCTGTGTCTCCCTCTCTCTCTGCTCCTCCCCCGTTCATGCTCTGTCTCTCTCTGTCCCAAAAATAAATAAACGTTGAAAAAAAAATTTTTAAATAAATTCTTTAAAAAAAAAAAAAAAAGAAAGAAACTGAACCACAGAGAAGGTCAATGAAACAAAAAGCTGGTCCTATCAAATGATCAATAAAATTGATTAACCTCTACCATTACTAAGAAAATAAAGAGGGAACCTCCGGATTACTAATTTATCAGACAGTCACCAATGTTGGGGAAGAAACAGTAAACATCATTAGGCCCTGCTACCAACAGTGGGGTGATAAGGGAACAGGACAAACAGGCCTACAGCCATAAATTTAACCATGTAGAGAAAATGAACCAGTTCCTTGAAGATCACAAAGTACCATCACTAACCCAGTGTGAAACAGATTATTTGAATAGCCCTATAACAGTTAAGGAAGTGGATTTTATAATTTAAAAAAACTTTTTAAATGTCTCTTTATTTTTGAGAGAGAGAGAGAGAGCGAGCATGAGCAGGGGAGGGGCAGAGAGAGAGGGAGACCCAGAATCCAAAGCAGGCTCCAGGCTCTGAGCTGTCAACACAGAGCCCAATGCGGGGCTCGAACTCGTAAACCATGAGATCATAACCTGAGCCAAAGCCAGACACTTAACCAACTGAGCCACCCAGGCATCCCTGATTTTGTAATTTAAAATCCAGGAAAAAAGAAATCTCCAGGCCCAGAGGGTTTTGCATGAGGGTTCTACCAACTCTTTAAAGAATCAGCACCAATTTTATGCAATCTCTTCCAGAATACAGAAAAAGGAGAAATACTTCTGTATCCATTTTACGAGGCCAATATTACCCTGATACCAAAACCAAACAAAGACAGTACAAAGAAAGGAAGTTACAGACCATATCTCCACAGGAATACAGACACAAGAATTCTTAACAAAATAGTCACAAATAGACTTTAGAAATACGTAGAAAGAATTGTACCCCAGCACCAAGTGGGGTTTATTCCAGGGATCCGAGACGGGTTTCATATTTGAAAACCAACTGAGGTCATCCACCATATTAACAGGCTAATAAAAAAAAAAATCACATGGTCATATAAATTGATGCCGAAAGCATTTGAGAGGGGCGCCCGGGTGGCTCAGTGGGTTAAGTGTCCGACTTCAGCTCAAGTGACGATCTCATGGTTCGTGAGTTCAAGCCCCACGTTGGGCTCTGTGCTGACAGCTCACAGATTCTGTGACTCCCTCTCTCTCTGCCCCTCCCCTGCTCATGCTCTCTCTCTCTCTCTCTCTCTCTCTCTCCCTCCGTCCCTCTCAAAAATAAAGAAAAAGAAAAGAGTACTTGAGAAAATTCAATATTTGTTCATGATTAAAACCCTCCGAAAACTAGGAATGGAGGGGAATTTCCTCAACTTGAAAAATAATACACACACACACACACACACACACACACACACACACATTACAGCTAACATTATATTTGATGGTAGAACAATGAATTCTTTGCTCCTAAAATTAGAAACTAGTCAGGATGTCTGGGCTCACTACTCTTATTCAACAGTGTACTGAAAGTTCTAGCCAGTGAAATAGGCAAGAAAAGGCATACATATCAGCAAAGAAGGCATAAAACCGTCTCAGTCTGTGGGGGTCACGATGGTCTATGAAGAGAATCCTAAATGATATCCAAACACCAAAACCAAAATATTCCTACAACCAACAAGGGAGTTCAGTAAGGTCTCCAGATACAAGATCAACACACAGAATTCAACTGCATTCCTATGTACGCGCAGCAAAAACATGCAAACAGAAAATTTTCAGTGCAACACAGCTTACACGTTTCCTTTAGTCATTTATCCGTCAAAGGACACTGAGGTTTGTTTCCGTGTCTTGGGCACTGTAAATGAGGCTGCAGTGCACATGGGAGGTGCCGGTATCTTTCTCGGCTCGTGTTTTTGCTTCCTTTGGATAAACACCCAGAAGTCGAGCACGATATGTACAACACGGGCCTGGGATGTCCTATGCCAGAAAGGAAGGAGGTGCTTTCGAAAAATGGGCACGTCACAAGGAAGATCAAAGAGGCTCTCACTGGCCACGTCTGGAAGAATGTAAGCACCAAAATATCAAGTCCAGTGATGAGTTTTAAAGCATTAAGAGAGAAAGAGGAAGGGAGGGAGGGAAGGCGGGAGGGAGGAAGTGTGGAGGAAGGAAGGGAGCAAAGGAAGAAACAGAATAGAGGACAGGAACGAGGGGTGGGGGAGGGATCTTGCTTACGGAAGAATCCCATTTTTTTTTTTAAATTTTTTTTTCAATGTTTATTTATTTTTGGGACAGAGAGAGACAGAGCATGATCGGGGGAGGGGCAGAGAGAGAGGGAGACACAGAATCGGAAACAGGCTCCAGGCTCCGAGCCATCAGCCCAGAGCCCGACGCGGGGCTCGAACTCCCGGACCGCGAGATCGTGACCTGGCTGAAGTCGGACGCTTAACCGACTGCGCCACCCAGGCGCCCCGGAAGAATCCCATTTCTGACTGCTCGATGCTGAGAGTGTCGGACTCAGGAAATCGTCCATTTGCAAGACCTCCAAAGCAAGAACCGTCAGTGGACGCCCAGCCTCGGAGGAAGTTTTGGTGGGTAGGAGACGGCCTTCATGTGTCTGTCCACACAACGCTTATTTATTCCAAGGGAGGAAAGAGAAAACAGTGACCGTTTTGACTCGGTGGTCAAAATGACATCGCCCACGGTGGACAGACGGACACTGTGCCCCGTCCCCAGATGCCACGCCCCCAAGAAGGACACAACCTCACACATGCAGTATGCTGGCCAGGAGTGCCTGACTACAAGGAAACATCAGACAAACGCAAAGTGAGAAATGTTCTCTTTTGTAAAGGGGGAGGTATAGTCCTTAAAAAAGTCACTGTTGTTGAAGATAGAGGCTGTGGGAAAGTCCCAGGTTATAGGAGGCTCAAGAGACAGGACACAAAACAGCTCCCGATTATAGACTGGGTCCTGAACTGGGTGGGGGGGGGGGGGGGGAATATATGTTATAAAGGACTTTTTATCGCAGTGACTGAGAGTTGGAACGTGGACAATTTGCTAAAAGCAGTGCATCACTGTGCATTCACGAAGTCCGCAGTCGTTTAGGTAAGAGCGTCCCTGTTCTCAGGGAACGCACACTCCAGGTATCTGGGGGTAGAGAGTCGTGATGTTTGTGTCTTACTCTCACATGGGGGCTGGGGATGGGGAGAGACAGAGAGCACAGAATGGTAAAGAGTCAATAGTGACAACAGACGAGTCTGGTTAAGGGGGACGTGATGGTTCTTTGTACCCTTTTGACGATTTTTGCCACAATTTGAAATCTGAAATTATTCCCAAAGAAAGCCTTTAAAAATTCCGTGCCAGAAAAGACCCATGCGCCTTCAGAACAAGGCTTCTCCCTACACTCTCCACAGCCGTGCCTGGGAGTGTTCACTTCCCACATCCCTGACAACACTAAGTGGCATCACACTTTTTAAAAACGTAACAGGGGCGCCTGGGTGGCTCGGTCGGTTGAGCGTCCGGCTTTGGCTCAAGTCACGATCTCAAAGTTGATGAGTTTGAGCCCCACGTTGGGTTCTCTGCTGACAGCGCAGAGCCCGCTTCAAATCCTTGGTCTCCCTCTCTCTCTCTCTGCCCCATTCATTCATTCATTCATTCTCTCTCAAAAATGACCAAACATTAAAAAAACAAAAATAAATGAAATAAAAGTAAGGATCTGGGTAACCTGGGTGGTGGCTGTTCCTCAGAACCACTTGTAGGAGATGAGATTCTGAGGGAGCCCCTGGACAGACAGGCTGATGTCGTCCCCCTCGGTGGCCCAGGGAGGAATGGAGGCCACGGCCAGCTGGGCAGACACCTGCTTGCTGCAGGAGCCCGTGAAGCAGACAGAGGGAGGAGGCAAGGGGCACTACCACGGGGGCCACTTGGCCGCATTCCAACACTGGAATTAGCCCCTTTTAGGCTCTCGCTCATGGGAGCTCAACAAGGGGAGAGGAAAGGGCAGGTGCAAAGGCCCTGAGGCAGGAGTGAGAGTGTTGGTTTAAGAGAACAGTAGAAAGATCGGTGTGGCTGGAGTTCAGTGAGTGAAAAGGAGAGAGGTAGGAGATAAGGTCAGAGGTAAGGCGGGCACACCACACAGGTGCTATTGGCATCTTTGGGAAGGGGAAGGAGAAGGAGGGGAAGAAGGGGAAGGAGGGGGAGGAGAATTATGTACAGGTATATAAAATATATAAATGTATATATATAAATCATATGTATATGATTTATTATTATGAACAGTTATTTGTCCTGTGGGGCTCTCCTAGGCATTGCAAGTAGTTTAGCAAGTCTGACCCTCCACTACCCTAGAAGGTCCCTCTAGGCTTTGAGACGAGAACATCCCCACATTGCCAATTACCCCACACACTGCCCCCCACTAGGGGGCAGTGTTGGCCGTGGTTGGGACCAACTCAACGGCCGCTGTCGTAGGCCATTTTAAGGATTGTGTTCTTAAGAGAGTTCTGGAACCACTGGAGGCTTTGGGGCGAAGGGGTGACGTTAAACGACCATTCTGGCTGCGCAGTGAATGGGTTTTGCAGTCCAAGGGCAGAGTGGCCACACTGCTCAGCTCGGAGAGGCGGGCTGCGATGCGCATACAGGTAACACCCGCAGGGTCCCCGCTACGCGCACAGTTACACGCGGCAACCCCGGGGCAAAGCAGAAGCAAGGCGGTCCGGAGGTGGCCGCAACAGTCCAGGCGAGCCAGGTCGGTACCTTGAACCGAAGTGGTTGCAATAACGAAACCGAGAAATGGGGACATTGGCCATCCTGAAGCCGAGAGTATTTGCTGGCGGATCAGATCCGGGGGCGCAAGCGAGCGAGAGAGAAGTCAGAGGAGGCTCTGGGTTCAGGGGCAGGAGCACCTGAAACAACGGGGGTGCCATTCCCTACGATGTGAAGGTGGGGGTCGGGGGGCGCACAGGGCTGGGGAAGAAAATCAGGAAACGTGAGCACGTAGCTGTTACCCGCACGCCGGAGCCATTCCAGAAGTTCCGTCCGCAGGGACCCTCTAAGGGACCAGCCATGTTTTCATGAGGCCCCCATGGTCTTTCTGCCTCCTCCCAGTTGGAGTCTAGACCTAGAGGAAAAGCAGGAGCGTCTGAGAAGCGTCCACACGCACCGCTGCAGGGTCCTTGGTTTCTCGTCACCCCCAAAGAGAGCCCATCAGTCCTGTCCCTCTGTGTCCCGCCCCCGTTCAGCCCAGACTGCCCCGTGAGGGACAGAAGTGCCCCCAGGGTCTTGGAGGTGAGCCTGGGAAGAGGGCCCGAGGCTTAGGGCGGGGTCCACCGGCACCGGGCTGGGGTCTCACCAGTTCCGCAGGTTCCTCCAGAGGCTGCAGTGACCCAGCTACCCGGCCAGAAAGAACAGCCCCGCCCTGCTTTTGTTGATGAGGAGCGTGGCCTTGGGCCCCTCGGCAGGGGGCGGGGGCAGCCTCCATGTGCCCCGGAGGTCCTCCGTGCCACCCGAGGTGCCGGGCACACAGCGTTGGCCCCAAGTGGAGTCACGGGCTAGGGACCCGAGCCTGGGCTCCGGGCTAGTTTTTGCCGGGCACCTGCAGCCTGGTGTGAAGGTGTTGACATCAGCCTCCAAGGCCACGGATGGGACTTTAGCGGAACAAGCGATAGAGAACAAGAGGAAAAGTAAAGGCGGCTTCTTCTCCGCCTCAGATTCTGCCTGGCAGGCAGTTTCCAAAGGCCAGCTGGGGTCCAAAGGCCTAGGGGTGGACGAGGAAGGCACAAGGACACTCGAGTCACCCCGATGCTTGGTTTCTGACGCCTGCTTGGCAAACGGATGGACGGGCAGAGAGGGTCAACAAAGACGTGTCACCCGGTCAGCATGGGAGAAAACAAAGTTAAGTGTGAAAAACAGTGGTCTAGAATTTTTATGTTTTTGTTTGATTGTTGTTGTTGTGTTTTTTTTTTTTGTTTTTGTTTTTGTTTTTTTTTGAGAGAGAGTACAAGTGAGGGAGGGGCAGAGGGAGGGGGAGAGAGAGAGAATCCCAAAGTGGGGCCCAAGCTCACCCGATAAGGGGCTCAAACTCACAAACCGTGAGACTATGACCTGACCCTAAGTCAGCTGCTTAACCAACTGAGCTACCCGGGCGCCCCAGCTCAATTTTCAAATGACAGCAGCTAGCGCTGGCAAGGGCGAGTGCACGCCAGTGCAAGCTTTCTAAGCAGGATGTGTCAAAGGACATAAAAATGTGCCTTCTCTTTGACCTCACAATTCCTCTTGTATTTATCTTAAGACAATCATTATGGATACATGAGGATATTTACCTCGGGGCAAATTGTGCAAGTGTTGCTCATAGGATCGTTTGGTCTGGGATCAAAAAGACAGGTCAGAATTACCTAAGTCAAGAGACTAACAGTGCAACGGCTGGAGCGCCAGCAGCCACTTTGAGCAACGAGGAGACCTATGGAAGGAGGCCATGCCTGGTACAATGAAAGACGTACACAGAAGGTGCTTGGATCTCTGGGGACCATGAAGCCGCAAGACCAGACTGTGATTTCTTTACCAGTTAGCTATCGCTGTGTCACAAACCCCCCCTAAAGCTTAGCGGCTTCAAGAGAGAGACACAGGTGGTACACAAGTTCTCTTGAGACCTGGGCTCAGCGTTAGCACTTTATTATTTCTACTTCATTCTGTTAACCAGAGCAAGTCAGGAGGCCCCCCCCGACGGGGGGGGGGGGGGGGCAGGAAAAGGATTCTGCCTCTTGATGGAAGAAGCTGTAAGTCATGGTACAGGGGGTGTGGATACAGCGAGTGGAGAGGTGGGGTCACTGCTGCCATGAAACTACCACAAATTCCATTCCATGAGAGAGAACTACATGCTCTATTAATAAAAGCACTGCTATTCTGAATTTCTGTTTCATGCCCCGGAACCAAATCCCTACTTGGCATAAAGAGCATGGCAGACAGAAGAGTATAAGCAAAGGCCCTGTGGTGGGAGGAGCATGAAAACTTCAAACAACCGAAGTAAGTGAGGTTGGGGGTGCCAGGGGCAAGAGGATCCAGTCAGGGAGCCACTTCCCACCAGCACCGCGTTTCCTCGTCCTCCTGCGGCCTACCCACACATCTGGCGACAGTCACACTCTCCTGGGGCAGGTTCCGGCTCAGCCCACTTTGTCAGGCACATGCTGGGGGCTGGATTTGATTCCGTGGGCGTTAAGGATGAAGACAGGTTCGGGGCGCCTGGGTGGCGCAGTCGGTTAAGCGTCCGACTTCAGCCAGGTCACGATCTCGCGGTCCGGGAGTTCGAGCCCCGCGTCAGGCTCTGGGCTGATGGCTCAGAGCCTGGAGCCTGTTTCCGATTCTGTGTCTCCCTCTCTCTCTGCCCCTCCCCTGTTCATGCTCTGTCTCTCTCTGTCCCAAAAATAAATAAACGTTGAAAAAGAAAAAATTAAAAAAAAAAAAAAAAAAAAAAGGATGAAGACAGGGTCGCGAGCTTTCAGAATTCCCATCTACTCTCTCTCTCTCTCTCTGAAAGCTTCGAGAGAGCAGGTAGGAACAGGGGCACAGGAGACTTAACCTGGGGCTTCTTTTTAAAAAAAAAATTTTTTTTTAATGTTTATTTAACTTTGAGAGAGAGAGAAAGAAGCAGAGAGAGAGAGGGAGACACAGAATCTGAAACGGGCTCCAGGCTCTGAGCCGTCAGCCCAGAGCCCGACGCGGGGCTCGAACCCACGGACCGTGAGATGGTGACCTGAGCCGAAGCTGGACGCTCAACTGACTGAGCCACCCAGGCGCCCCTACAATGCGCATCTTTATGTTCCTTTGGGCTGCGAGAACATTCCTGTGGGAGTATATACCCAAGAGGACAATTGCTGGGTCCTGGGGCTGCACATGCTTGGTCTGCCCAAGTCCTACCAGGTTGTCCTACAGAATCGCTGTTGCCGCCCACATTCCCGCCAACGCTGTCTGAGGCTCCCCCGACTCTGTCCCCACGAACACTTGCCATCATCCAGCCCTCTCGCTTTTCCAGGCTGACAGGTGTCCAATAACATCCTGCTGTTTTGAGCTTCACTTCCCGGAGAAGTTCTGACTTGGAGCATCTCTCCACGTGCTTTTGTGGGCATTTGGGTATCCTTTTTGTTCGACGGCAGAAAACTCCAAGTAGTGAGTGTCAGGGTGGCGCTGGCCTTCTGGATCACGACTCCAAGCCGAAATGTCCGAGTCTGCAAAGGACAAAAGCAAAACCAGCCCCTGGCCCCAGGGAGCGGGGCCTGAAGTTCAGCCGCGTGTGCGAGATGAAGATAACCCCTCCCCGCATCTCCCCGCATCTGAACCCAGAAGCCCAAAGACAAGAGGCCCAAGCAGCCAGGAAGAGGGCTGGGAGGCCAGGAAGGGCCCTCAATTCTGGATGGCGGCACACTGACCCGATCGACGGCTTTTGCTGTGAACGTCTGTGCGCTGGTCCTCACTGTAGTCCCAGAGGGTATCTGTCCGCTCATTCCGCCGGTCAACTCACATACACTGGGCAGCTACCACGGGCCGGGCGCTGTTCCAGGGACTGCGGCCACGATGGCAGACAAAGCAGACAAGGCCCTGCTCCCGGGGCGCTGACACTCCAATGGGGCTCCATTCACACTGCCCAGGATGTGCATTCTAAGCAGAAGACGGCAGGACCGGGACAGGCTGCAAAGGAGCTGCCTCGAGTTCCCCTGACTTCCTGCAGTGACCCCTTCAAGCTCTCACTCTTCATATGTCTTCTGAGGGTGATAAAGAGAAGGGGGGCTGGAGTAAACAGGGGTCCTTGGACCGGCCAGTGGGCCCCTTCCTCATGCCCCTGGGAGCCCCTGGGCCCTCCAGCCCAGCATCAGCCTCCCATGCAGGACAGAGGAGAGGAAGGTACAGAGGTTCGTCTACAGAGACACTTCCACAGCTTTCAAGCTCCCTCCCCTGGATGCCGCACCCCTCCCCAAGCCCCGCTGTGCACCTGCTGACCCTGTCGGCAATAATCGGCGCCGCCCGGACTTACCTTCTCAGGTGAGAAAACACAGCAGCCCTGAGCCGGAGGGGAAGTCAGAGGAGAGAGGATTTTAATTCTGCCCAGAGGAAGGGGGTGCAGAATACGGGGCTTCCCGCGACAAGGGGCTAAAATCCCAAATCTCTGCTCTAGTGTCGAAGGCCTCCATGATATGACCCACACCAGCCTTTCCACCATTAATGTCCCTCCTCCCACCGCCTCCCTGCCACACACACACACACACACACACACACACACACACACATACACACACACACAGGGAGCCCCATTCTCTTGTTCGTCACTCAACCTTACCACCTCCTTGCCCCAGATCTACGTGCAACGGGGCGGGGGGGGGGGGGGGGGGGGGGAAAAAATGGCGCCCGCTGACCCCCCACGGGAGAAGTGTTGAGCTTGGCATTCAAGGTCTCTGCAAAACAGGCCTCTGCCTCCCTTCTCACCACTAGCTTCCGCACACCTAGGAAAGAATTCTGAGCTCTTGTCCCCCACATGCTACCCTTGCACGCTCTCCCAGCCAGCCATTGTGCCAGGCCCAGAGCGCTGGAGGGGCGGCCTGTGGAGCAGGGAAAGCTCTTGGCCCCCCCCCCCCCCCCAGACGAGTAAGCTCTAAAGCCTTCAGCTTGGCATTCAAGGCTTCTATGATCGGGTCTCTGCTGACCTGTCCGCCCTTAGTTTCCACCAGCATAAAGAGAACTCAGAAATCTGGTTCACCCATTTCTATCCTCATCCTGTCCAGGGATTCCCCCAGCCTCCCTGCAGAGATGAGAGCCCAGCCCTCCTTTCGGGAAAGGGAAGCCATGGCTACCTGGCCCCTCGTGAAGCCCAGGAAATAGCCCACGGTGGTGACCAGAAGAACCACACCAACCATCACTCCAAGTACAATGCCAGCAACGCCCCCTCCCCAGGGATGGGTGGTCTGTAGAATGCCCTGGCCACTCTCCGCCAAGGCTTCTGTGGAGACGGGGGGAGAGGGCCCAAAGATTTCCCAGTCCTAATCCCCGGAACCTGTGACTGTTCCTTTATGTGGTAAAAAGATAGTTTGCAGATACGACGAAGTTAAGGGGTCTTGAGATGGGGCGATTGGCCTGGATTACCCAGCTGGACCCTAAAGGCGAGTGTGCTTAGAAGGAGGCAACAGAGGGGCGCCTGGGTGGCGCAGTCGGTTGAGCGTCCGACTTCAGCCAGGTCACGATCTCGCCGTCCGGGAGTTCGAGCCCCGCGTCGGGCTCTGGGCTGACGGCTCAGAGCCTGGAGCCTGGTTCCGATTCTGTGTCTCCCTCTCTCTCTGCCCCTCCCCCGTTCATGCTCTGTCTCTCTCTGTCCCAAAAATAAATAAACGTTAAAAAAAAAATTAAAAAAAAAAAAAAAAGGAGGCAACAGAGGGAGATTTGACAGAAGAGAACAGGGCCACGTGGTAGGAGGAGACAGATGCAGAGGGAAACCGGGTCAGAGGTGGTGCCGTGACGCTGGCTTTGAAGACGAAGAACCAAGGAATGCAGTTCTAGAAGCTGGGAAAGATGAGGGAACACATTCTCCCCTACAGCTTCCCAGGGGGGCAAAGTCCCGCCAATATCTTGACTTCTGCCCATGGCAGACTGATTTTGGACTCCTAACCTCCGGAAGTATATAAGGATACATTTGTCCTGTTGTAAGTCACCACACTTGTGGCAATTGTTTACAGGAGCCACAGGATAACAATCCAGAGGCCCAACACCTCCATGAGCCACCCATTCACCCTGGATTTCAACGGCCCTGTCAACTGAGCATCATTAATCTAGAGTGCCCCCCACCCCCACCCCCGGGGCCCAGGAAGAGTGAGCTCATTGATCACAACAAACTCGTGGAATTGAAGTTAGTCTGTCCGAACTGAGGCCAGAACCGTGTGTGATCAGCACCTGGCCAGACCCCGCTAGGACGGACTGAAAAAAGGAAGCAAGAGACGTCAGCAGTCTGGCTTCTGGAAACAGGGGGCTCTGAACACGCTGGGCTCAAAGAACACATTGGAAATACTTCGAAGTAAGGACTCTGGGCTTAAATCCCGGCTCAGCCACTTTCTAGCTGAGTGATCTTTAGCAAATTACTAGACCTCTCTGAGCCTCCTCCTCATCTAGTAAGTGGAGATAACAGCAAAGGTCGATCCTGAGGTTGTTAGGGTATTAAAATGGCTGCAAATTCTTTGTCACTCCTTCCACGGAGAGGATGAGCCTGAGACCCCTGCCTGGAATCTGGGCTGGCTTGGGGCTGCTTTGGCAATAGCGTAAGACAGGGACTCATGACTTTCCTGGTGAGGTCATTAGAGGTCACGCGGCTGCCAAATGCCTCCATTCCCTGTAGCTGCCGTAACGAATTTCCACAAACTGAGCAGCTTAAGGGAACACAAATGTATCATCTGACGGTTCTGCAAATCAGAAGTCTAACATGACTTAACACAGCCGCATTCCTCTGGGCTCCAGGGGAGAATCCATGCCCTTGCTTTTTCCAGCTTCCAGAGGCACCTGCGTTCCTTAGATTAGCTCACGCCCCCCCCACCACCACCACCGTGCTCCGACCTCCCTTCCGCCACCATATCTCCTCCTCTGACTCTGATCCTCCCGCTTCCCTCTTATAAGAACTCCTAGGATTACTAAGGGCCCATCCACATACTCCAGGTGGATCACTCCATCTCAAGATCCTGAACTCAATTACGTCGGCAGAGTCCCTCTTGCCACGGGAGCTAACATATTCACCAGTTCGAGGGATTAGGATGTGGACACTACTCGGCCCGCCACGGTTGGATAGACATCCCCTCTCTGTGCCTCAGTCTCCCCCTCCTTAACATGGGGATTAACAGTGGTACTCATCTCTGAGGTTCTTGTGCGGATTAAATAAGATCACGGGC